GAACAATATGCCCATGACCTTTAATGGTATTAGTGATTTGCCTCTTCTTCAGTTTGTAGATTTGAGTGGAAACTTTTTGATTTTGAAGGACTGCTGTTCCCAATTTTTTCAAAGGACACCAAATATTCATTACATGAATTTTAGTCAAAACACAGAGATAGGGATTGCGGATAAGCCATTTTCTGGATTAGACTTGCTTGAAGTGTTGGACCTCCACCGTACAAAACTAGTCCTAGTTTTTTACTTTGGATTTTTACATGGTCTGAAAAATTTAAAGTATTTGGATATATCTTACACAAGTATTACTTTCACAAGACAAATGATTTTTCAGAACCTGAACAACTTGACTGTGCTTAAAATGGCAGGAAACAGTTTTCATGGTGATGCATTGAGTTACCTCTTGCAAAATCTAACATGTTTGGAGGTTCTTGCCCTCTCACACTGTGGCATTGAAGAAATCTCCAGGAGATCATTTATTGGCACCCAGAAAATACGGTATTTATATTTAAGTCAAAACAAGTTGATGATTTTGGATTTTCTGGCCCTCCCAAACCTGAAACAATTAACATCACTTTATGTCGATAAAAACAGCATTACTAGCATCCCACTTCATGTTCTCCAAAAGTTGCCCACAAACCTTTCGGAGTTTGATTTATCCTCTAACCCCATCGATTGCTCCTGCTCCCAGACAGATTTTATTTGGTGGATTATCCACAATCAGAACATGTTGAAGCAGCCGGAAAATATTTTCTGTAAAACCACAGATTTTAGAGCAACAGACTTTGACATTGACAGCTGTGTGCACAAGAAAAGACTCACAATTGTTTTATCTGTATGTTTTGTTACAGTAGTAGTTCTTTTGTCATTCTTGGTTTATAGGTTCCAGTTTTATCTTCAGTATTGCAGTATCCTACTGAGAGGCTATAGATCACCTGGTCAACAAGAATGTTCTTATGACGCATTTGTGATTTTCTCCAGCTATGATGAAGTCTGGGTCATGAATGAACTGATGGAGAATCTGGAGAACAGTGTTCCACCTATTCAGCTTTGCCTTCATATGCGGGACTTTCAAGCAGGGAAGTCCATCGCCTCCAACATTATCGATGAAGGTATAATGGGCAGTCGTAAAATCATTGTGGTTGTGTCTCAACACTTCATTGATAGTGCCTGGTGTCGATTTGAGTTTGAATTAGCTCAGTCTCGCTTTATGATGGAACGCAGTGCCAACATCATCATCATCATTCTGGAAGATGTAGAAGAGAGGAAGACTAAGAAAGTGTTTGAACTTCATAAGCATCTGAAAAAGAACACGTACCTAAAGTGGAGCAGAGACCCTTTGAGTAACATGAGATTCTGGATGCGCCTCAGGAAAGCTATTTTAGATCATTAATCTAGACATATATGTTTGTGAATGTGTGTAATTTCAAATAAAATAAACTGATGCTTCAGTTGCATGTGGAAATTGAATTGAAGGGTTCTGTTGAAAAAAACTTTTGGACTCCCTGCACCTATCCTAATACATTTTAGGATGTACGAGTTAACATTAATTAAAGTATCATGAATAAACATGTATTAAACATGAATATATGATTATAAATCAAATGATTGTTAAAAGCTCATCGGTCTGAAAAGCGAGGTGTGCTGTGATTGGCCAG